CTGTACAGAGGGGACAATATCTATTTCTTCTCCTTGCAAAGCAGGGAGAAGGATCAAAGAGCTTTTCAGTAAAAATCAGCACGATACACACAATAATACTTGTTATCTTCTTGAATAACCGAAATGTTAACCCCTTCCCAGCCAGTGCCATTAGTACAGTGACACTGTAGTATTATCGGTGTATTAGTGTCACTGGTGATGTCAGCTAGTCCGTTCTCACCCAGTGTTGGTTAGTGTCAGATTGCCTCCCACACTGACACAGTCCCACTATAAGTCGCTGATCACCGCCATTACTAGTATGAAAAAAAAATTCAGTGTATATATACCAAAGTTTGTGGACAATATAACTTTCATGCATACCAATCAATATACACTTATTGGGACTTTTTTTTTATTACCAAAGACGTAGTAGAATAAATTTTTTTTAATGGGATATGTTTTATGGAAGAAAGTTAAATATATTGTTTTTTTTGTTTTTTTCAAAATTCTCAGTCTTTCCTTGTTTATATAGTACATAAAATAGAAAAAAGCCAGTGGTGATCAAATACCACCAAAACAAAGCTCTTTTTGTATAAACAAAAAAATGATATAAATTTAGTTTGGGTACAGCATTGCATGACTGCAAAATAACCAGTTAAAGTAGTGTAGTGATTCCCAGCCATGTGATGTTTGTCATCATACTGATTTGTACCGTGCATATGTTCAATTAAGAGCACTCCTGGTTAAGAAAGAAAAAAATTAAGTAAAAAAAGTAGCTTGGTGCAAAATAGCAAAAGATGGCCTAGTAATGAAGGGGGAAAAACCTTACAGAGCTAAAGTGGTTAAAAGTTGGCAGCTACAGTATTTTGTAGCTGCTGACTTTTAGATGTCTTTTTACAGGGTGAAAATACTCTTTAAAGAATGTTTTAAAAAAGCACTTAAAAATTGTGTTTGATGTTACCATTCATTTTTGAAATGCATTTCATTTCCCAAACAAAAACCACATTCACTATTTGAAATTCATTAGTTCAATAAAAATTTACCATCCTACTCCTTTCAGTTTTCTCATCACTGCGGTCAAAAACGAACATTGATTTGACCCCAGCAATGATTATAAAATGGAATGAACATTCTTGAAACAGAAATTTTCAAATAAATTTCTACTAGTGTTTGGCCAGCTTTAAAGCAGAACTTCACCTAAAGTCGGAAGTTCCATTTTATGTCCTCCTCTTTCCACTTTTGGAACAAATTTTCTTTGGGGGGGGGGGAAGGGGGGGATTAGGTGTTTAGTTTTGTCAGCTATCCAATCCCACTTCCACTGGAATCGCTTACCACCTGTGACATGTCACAGGTCTCAGAAGGCTGTGGATCCATTTACAAATTGCAGCACGACTCATACATATGCAGTGGGGGGCTGGCTGTGAAGCCACAAGGAGTCACAGTCGCTTCCCACAAAAACCACGTCAGCCCTGGACTCAAAGACAGGCAAAAAATCGGCTTGGGTGAAGCCGATGCTGGATCCCTAGACAGGTGAGTGTCCTTTTATTAAAAGTTCACAGCTACAGTATTTTCTAGATGCTGATTTTTGTATTTCAATGGTTTTTATTAATTTTAAACAGTATAAAACAGAGGCAACAAAACACACCCACACAGGGGCTATCAATTGCACCAATAAAAAAGGCATAATAGAGCAGACAACGCTCTAATTCCAATAAGGCAAAACGTTATGCCCACGCAGGGGCTATCAATGGACATAGGTTACAATAACATCAGTGAGACTCTGACTATCGCAACTAAAGACAGCTGTCCACTGTCACATCAAAACAAACAGAAAAGGAGAGAAGAAGAAGAGCAGAGAAGAAAGGGAAAAAAAAAAAAAAAAAAAAACACACCAAAGAGCAGGGGTCCACGAGCGCCAATACCAAACTCCATCACCTCCCCACACTGGCCGGGGGGAGCGTGGGAAAGGCGTATTGCAACCACGGCTCCCATATTTTTAAAAATTTATGTTGAGAGTCGTTGCATATACTCGACATCTGTTCGTTGAGCATCATAGTAGTCATACGATCCCACACCCCCTGGAAAAGTACAAACGGACTCTTCCAGGCCTGAGCAATTGTCCTAGTGGCCGATAAAAACAAATAGGAAGCCAACCGCTGCTGACGAGCCAAGAGGCCCGGTATGGGGCAATGAAGCAAAGCATACCGAGCATCCCGGCGTATGGAGAGATGGAACAAAGTGAAAAGGAGGCCAAACACACGAGACCAAAAACGAACCAACCTCAGACATGACCACCAGATATGCAGTACATCGCCACGATGGCCACAACCCCGAAAACATCGATCACTACAGGCAGGGTTAGCCTGGGCCAGACGAGCCGGAACCCAGTACCAACGGAACAATACCTTGTAGGCTGCTTCCAGCGTGGTCGTATTAAATGAACATTTAGCTATGAGTGACCAGGCTTTATTCCAGTCCTCCAGATCCACAGCCACTCCCAGGTCGCATTCCCACTGAACAACATATGAAAGAGAAGTGTGCGACGAGCGTCTGTTCTAGATGCTGATTTTTAATTGTTTTGAAATTACTGAAAAACCTCTTTCAGTATACACCTGTGGAAGGGGAGAGTGGGATTTTTAGGTTGGGGCAAATGGGTATTTTGTCTGAAAGTCCACTTATTCTGTAAAGCAAAGTGTGTTAAAATTGTTGGTCAGACCCTTATGCTGAATGTACAAGGCAGTCCATACTGTCCATTATAAATAGCCTGCCGAAGCACTGCAATTAAAAAAATGCACCTGTTTTTTTTTTTTTTAGGACCCTAAGGGTCACAAAAACCTCTTTGTTTCAGGGCACTGCATAGATGCACACCAGAAAGGTCTAGGAGACAGACATGCACCATTTTTAGCAATGCAATGCACCACAATGTGCAGTAGTGCTTTGTTGTAGTGCACTGCAATGCAACACTAGATATGCTGAGGTGCCACTGAAAATAATGTCACTGAAGTGTACGTGTGCACATGTGCTATCAACTGACATCTGTGAACAATGCACCAAAGCAGGCAAATAGGAATTTAGAAATGCAGTAGTTTTTTGTTGGAAAAAAGACCCACTTTTATTGACCATAGATTTAAGAGATTTAATTTTAAGCTCCTTATTTAAAAATGAACCTTTGAAATTAACAAATGATTAGGATTTTTGGTTTGCCTGTAAAATCATTTGCTGTAGTAGTTATTAGTTACGTTATGTTGCCACCTTCAGGTGAATGGATACTGGCCAAAAAAGTCAGGAATCATCTCTCAGGCATAACTTCTCCCAGGTCCACTAAGCCTTAGGCAAGTAAATAAAAAAATTCTAATTTCTTAAGTGCACATCACTGGACACAAAGGAGTTAATATTCATGACTACTTAGCATGTCCCAAGCACTAAGCATGAAGGGTGGTGTCAGGGCTCCTGGGTATGACCAGAGGTGTGTGACTGATGCAGGGAAACGCAGACTTCAGATAAGTTATAAACAATTTATTAACACTAACAATACAAACATAAATGCAGTGCAATACTAAAACATAACACAGTGCAACAAACCAAACCAAACCACCCACAGATAACAGTACATACAGTGCCAGCGTCGTCAGGCAGGCCGGGTCAATATCAATCGGGCAGGTAGGTACAGGGGGAGCAAGCGGAGAATAGTCAGGTCACGAGCAGGGTACAGCAACTAACACAGGCAGGTAGGTACAGGGGGTCAGGCAGAGAATGGTCGGGGTCACAAGCCAGGGATCAGAACAGGAGAAGTCAGCAGAGGTCAGAATCAAGCCGGGTCAGCAACAAGACAGGAACAGGAGCAGGATGCAGGAACAAGATACAGGGCCCAGGAAAAACACAACACCAAGGCAGAGTCTGCAGGTCTGAATGTCCCTTAAATACACCAGTAGAATTAGTTCCAGGTGTTTGACTGGCTGCAAGGTTGAGTCTCTGATTGCTGGGAGCACCCGCTGGCCAGCCCTGGTACTGCAGCTCAAAAGGCAGGTGAGTCCCACTATTGCTGGCCAGTCCATTCCTGACAGTACCCCCCCCTCAAGGAGCGGCCTCAGGACGCTCCAAACAGTCCTAGCTGGGCAAAAAGTTCCACCGCCCGGGTCTGGTAACTGGCGGGATATCAAAGACTGGCACACCGGGCAGGACTCCGGGCAGGGGCACACCGGGCAGAGGCACACCGGGCAGAGGCACATCGGGCAGAGGCACATCGGGCTGGACTCCGGGCAGAGGCACATCGGGCTGGACTCCGGGCAGAGGCACATCGGGCAGAGGCACATCGGGCTGGACTCCGGGCAGAGGCACATCGGGCTGGACTCCGGGCAGAGGCACATCGGGCTGGACTCCGGGCAGAGGCACATCGGGAGATTACCAGGTGAAGCAGCAGCGGGCCCCCAGGCGGGGCGACAGGCATCGGGCCCCCAAGCGGAGCGGCGGGCCCCCAGGAGGGGCGACAGGCATCGGGCCCCCAGGCGGGGCGACAGGCATCGGGCCCCCAAGCGGAGGGGCGACAGGCATCGGGCCCCCAAGCGGAGGGGCGACAGGCATCGGGCCCCCCCCCAAGCGGAGGGGCGACAGGCATCGGGCCCCCCCCAGGCGGGGCGACAGGCATCGGGCCCCCAGGAGGGGCGACAGGCATCGGGCCCCCAGGCAGAGCGGAGGGCGGGCGGGCCCCCAGGCGGAGCGGCGGGCGCCGGACCCCCAGGCGGAGCGACAGGTCTCGGGCCCCCAGGCGGAGCGGCGGGCGCCGGACCCCCAGGCGGAGCGACAGGTCTCGAGCCCCAGGCGGAGCGGCGGAGCGGCGCCGCCGGACCCCCAGGCGGAGCGGCGGGCACCGAGTCACCAGGCACGACAGTGGGCTCCGAGTCAACTGGCAAGACTGCGGGCACCGAGCCAACTGGCGGAGCAGCGGGCTTCATCGAGTCGTCTGGCAAGACTGCGGGCACCAAGTCGTCTGGCAAGACTGCGGGCATCGAGTCGTCTGGCAAGACTGCGGGCACCGAGTCAACTGGCGGAACAGCGGGCATCGAGTCAACTGGCGGAACAGCGGGCACCGAGTCGTCTGGCAAGACTGCGGGCACCGAGTCGTCTGGCGGAACAGCGGGCATCGAGTCAACTGGTGGAACAGCGCGGGCATCGAGTCAACTGGCGGAACAGCGGGCATCGAGTCAACTGGCGGAACAGCGGGCACCGAGTCATCTGGCATTGGATTGTCTGGCTCGACAGCGGGCATCGGGCCACCAGGTATGACAGCGGGCACTGGGTCACCAGGCATCAGGTCATTTGGCTCGCCAGCGGGCACCGCGTCATCTGGCAAGGCAGTGGGCACCGAGTCACCAGGTACGACAGCGGGCTCTGAGTCAATTGGCACGACAGCGGGCACCGGATCAGGTACCGGATCATCTGGATCAACAGCGGGCATCGAGTCAACTGGCCTAATAGGATCATCAGGCTGGATCAGTTCATTATGCTGGGTAGAAGCATCCGGCTGAGTAGAGGCTTCAGGCTGAGTAGAGGCTTCAGGCTGAGTAGAGTCTTCAGGCTGAGTAGAGGCTTCAGGCTGAGTAGAGGCTTCAGGCTGAGTAGAGGCTTCAGGCTGAAGAGAGGCATCAGGCTGAAGAGAGGCATCAGGCTGAAGAGAGGCATCAGGCTGAGTAGAGGCTTCCGGCTGAGTAGAGGCTTCCGGCTGAGTAGAGGCTTCAGGCTGAGTAGAGGCTTCAGGCTGAGTACAGGCATCAGGCTGAGTAGAGGCATCAGGCTGAAGAGAGGCATCAGGCTGAACCACGGAAGGCAGGTTTTCAGACGGTAGGCTCACCGGTTTGGATACTGGCAGGATGGTACTGGTTGGAAAGAATTTTCGCTTTTTTCTGGTTTTAACTACTGGGGCACTGCAAGTAAACGCAGGTCTGCAAATGAATGGAGCAGCTGGAGACAGAGAAGAGCTGGAGGATGGAACAGGGGAGGGAACAGTTGCTACAGAGGGCTTCTTTACAGGGTTAAAGGCAGGATAGGTGCAGCGAGTGGGAACAGGGTACTGACATGCGGTAGATAGCCAAGTATACTGGGCTGTAACTGGAGGTGCTGTTGGGAATACAGGAGTAGAGCTTTGAGGAAATAGATTAGAAGCAGGACTGGGTTTTTGTAAGCTGACTGAGGCTGGGTGTAACAAATCTGTCCATGTCTGCAGTATGGGTTGAACAAAGCTGAGCTTACACAAAGCCTGTCTGACCAAAGACTGCACTGCGTTTATACAATCTCTTAGTGTCTGTGGTGAACATGTGGGAATAACGCTCCAGAAAGTAACCCACATCATCCTCTAATAACCATACCAGGGACTCTACCTGGTCGGCACTAAATGGCGGCAAAAATTCATCCCTGCATTCGGGGGTACCAGATGAAACCAACTCAGCACAAACCTCAATCAATGGGTGCACCTCAGAGAACTCTGTGCCCTGATCTACTAGAACATGAGCGAGCCGTATACATTCTAGCAGTTCATCCCGGGTATACTCCTTCAGAGTTTGATAAGCATACTCCCTGTCATCAAACACTAGCAGATATAAATACGCAACCTCATCCAGATCCATCCTTCCCATCAACAAACCAAGATGGCTTCCCTGTGCAGCCACTTCTGGTCAGGATTGGCCTTGGTGTAATGTCAGGGCTCCCGGGTATGACCAGAGGTGTGTGACTGACGCAGGGAAACGCAGACTTCAGATAAGTTATAAACAATTTATTAACACTAACAATACAAACATAAACGCAGTGCAATACTAAAACATAACACAGTGCAAACAAACCAAACCACACCCACAGATAACAGTACATACAGTGCAAGCGTCGTCAGGCCGGCCGGGTCAATATCAATCGGGCAGGTAGGTACAGGGGGAGCAAGCAGAGAATAGTCAGGTCACGAGCAGGGTACAGCAACTAACAGGCAGGTAGGTACAGGGGGTCAGGCAGAGAATGGTCGGGGTCACAAGCCAGGGATCAGAACAGGAGAAGTCAGCAGAGGTCAGAATGAAGCCGGGTCAGCAACAAGACAGGAACAGGAGCAGGATGCAGGAACAAGATACAGGGCCAGGAAAAACACAACACCAAGGCAGAGTCTGCAGGTCTGAATGTCCCTTAAATACACCAGTAGAATTAGTTCCAGGTGTTTGACTGGCTGCAAGGTTGAGTCTCTGATTGCTGGGAGCACCCGCTGGCCAGCCCTGGTACTGCAGCTCAAAAGGCAGGTGAGTCCCACTATTGCTGGCCAGTCCATTCCTGACAGGTGGGCAACAAGGTCAGCATGCCCAAAAAAAAACAAAACGAGGCGTTTTGAGACCCTGTGAACTGAGGTATTGGCAACCCATAAGACCTCCTTGCATGTAAGGAGTGACAAGGGAACAAAGAGGGGGCTGCATCTGCAGAACAATCCTTGTGACACTTTGAAAAAAAGGCTTTGAATGAAATGCCATAGGTATCTGGAAAAGAACTGCCATGGCTGATATCTGTCCTTAATGATACCTAAAGCCAGAGACATATCCACACTAGACTGAACAAAGGCCAAAATGTGCCCCATGACATACTGTTGGGAATTAAACTTACCAGGCAATGTAACCTATCCATGTATGATGGTACACCTTTCTGGCAGTTGACTTCCTAGTCTCGAGGAGGGTAGGAATCACAGAATCAGAAAAAAAAAAAACCCTGTCTCTCAGGACATGGGCTTCAAGAGCTATGCGGTTATCGCAAGCGAACATACAATAGCCATATACCACACTCTTTTTTGGTCAGATGCAATTAAAATCATGAACATGCCCTCCACCTTTATCCTGCTCAACAGGCAAGAAAACAGATCCCAAAGAGTCATCAGGGCATCTACCACAAAGTTTCAGTCCAAGTGTGTCTGAATATGTCAAAAGGTCCATATTTGGTGTCCCCCATCTCAGACAAATTTCTGCAAACAGAGAAAAGCCCATGCTTCTAGACTCAGCTGCTGATGGCTGAGAAAATCAGCTTGCAAATTTTCCATGCTGGAAATGTGCATGATGGATAGGGCATGAAACGTCTTTTCCTGCTTAAGTGATTGGTTTATTGATTTTCCCAGAAGTTTGTACTTAGATATACAGTGCTCAGCATAAATGAGTACACCCCAACAGATTTGTCAGAAAACCTTTACTTTCCTTTCAGAATCAACATTTTCTATGGGACACTATACTACAAAATACTCCCACAAATGTGGGCCATTGACTGCAAACAAGATTTGTTAATTTGAAACACACAAAAAAGTATTTTTCCTAACAAATTCATTCAAGACCATGTTGCAAAAATGACTACACCCCAATGGAAGTCTTAGGAGCAAAGCCAAAATTTTAGACAAAAAAATCCTAATAAACAAGAATTCTACTACAGGTGAGTCTAATTATTCATTAAACAGGTGTCCAGCAGACAGTTGATTATAAAAGGGCGTTACTTAGCAAAGAAAACCCCTTCCCATTTCATGCTGTCAGCAATGACACATGACCAAGACCTGTGAAAAAAAATAATTTATTTACACAAGAAAGATGAAGGCTACAAGCTTTACTTATCAGGCAGAATACTGTAGCAAAAGTGATGCAAAAAACTTAACAAAGATGGAACTGCAACCATCTCACAGAGATGTCCAAGCTGTCCACGGAAGTTAACACATCGACAAAAGCGTCTTCTGATGAGAAGGGTTGAAGAAAATTGCCATGCAAATTCACTGCAGTTAGCTAAAGAAGTAGCCAAACTGGGGTGGTTGTTTCCTGTGACACTATATGACATACACTGCAGAGGAATGGCATGCACGCGTGTCATCCACGAAGGAAGCGAAGGAAGCCTATCCACGCACAAAAAAATCCCACCTAGAATTTGCCAGGACCCATGCTGAAAAAGAAGACTACTGGGACTCTGTAATCTGGAGTGATGAGACCAAGACAAAAATGTTTGGAACTGATGGCTTCAAAACTGTATGGCTTCACAAAGGTGAGAAGTACAAAGAAACATGCATGGTGCCTACAGTGAAACATGGTGGTGGCAGTGTCCTTCTGTGGGACTGCATGAGTGCTGCTGGAGTCGAAGAGCTGCATTTCATTGATGGTATCATGAATTCACAGATGCAATGCTCTATATTGAAAGAGAAGATGCTACCATCACTCTGTGCCCTTGGTCGTCGTGCACTTTCCAACATGACAATGATCCATAACCAGGGGCGGACTGACCATTTGGAAACTCGGGCACTGCCTGAGGGTCTGGGGTCAGTAGGGGGCCCTATGAGATGCCCCTGGTACCTTTTTCATAGGCTTTTTTGAGTTTGGGCAAGGACACAAGGGCCCCATGATACCCTATTGCCCGGGGACCCCATGAGTTGTCAGTCCGCCCCTGCACAACACACATCTAAGGCCACTGTTGCATTTCTGAAGAACAGGGCGAAAGTGATTCAGTGGCCAAGTATGTCTCCTGATCTGAACCCAATTGAAAACCTATGGGGAATTCTGAAGAAACAAGTTGAGAATCACTCTTCAACCAGCATCCAGGCTCTAAAAGAGGTCGTTCTTGAAGAATGGAAAAAGGTAGATGTTGCAATATGTCTCCAACTTGTTCATTCCATGCCTAGAAGACTTGGTGCTGTCCTTAAAAATTATGGAGTTCATACAAAATACTAGATGTAGTTTTTGTTGTGTGGTGTATTCATGTTTGCATCAACTAATTTGAGTAAAACTGAAGATTTTGTAATTTAAGTTATATTATTAACCTTACTTTCATGTAATGAGCTAAACAAATGTTCTATAAAACTCAGTTTTGTCAAAAGTTTGGAAATTGTCCTTGTGTTCATTGAGATATTGTTCAAAATCTTACTTTTCAAAAGGGGTGTACTCATTGATGCTGAGCACTATAAGTGACCTAGGCCAGTGGTGGGCAACCTTTTTTTTCAACTGAGCCAAATCTCGCCAAAACCACGATTGAAATTTATTTTGAGAGCCACATTTTTAAAACTGAAAATACATCCCCCATATAGTAATTCATCCCCCATAGTAATTCATTCCCCATATAGTAATTCATCCCCCATAGTAATTCATCCCCCATATAGTAATTCATCCCCCATATAGTAATTCATCCCCCATAGTAATTCATCCCCCATAAAGTAATTCATCCCCCATAGTAATTCATCCCCCGTATAGTAATTCATCCCCCGTATAGTAATTCATCCCCCATAGTGTAATTCATCCCCCATAGTAATTCATCCCCCATATAGTAATTCATCCCCCACATAGTAATTCATCCCCCATAGTAATTCATCCCCCATATAGTAATTCATCCCCCATAGTAATTCATCCCCCCTATAGTAATTCATCACCCCTATAGTAATTCATTCCCCATATTGTGTCAATTCACTTACCTTTGCTCTGCTCGTTCTTCTCGCCGT